TGCTGGGGGATTTTGCGGGAAATATTGGATCCATGGAGTCCTTGATACCGGGTATTAAGGCTTCTTAGTGCTGTCATGTATATGGATTCCTTAATACCCTGTAGGAAGGAATCTGGATCAAAGATCCAAGATCCGAGATTGCTTGGGGACTTTTGAGGGGAATCTTGGATCCATGAATCCGCCCCTGAAACCTTAACCCCGGTATTAAGGTTTCTTAGTGCTGCATGTAGATTCCTTATTACCGGTATTGAGTTTTTTATTTATTTTATTTTTCGTATTGTCTAGATCACGACATGATTGTTTTTGTGTAAAATTAGTATGTGATGTGGCCAAAGTGGGCTGCACAGACTGCCAGGATGCACAAACACCGCCCCAACCAAAACTTTTCGCAGGGAGTCAGACGGCGTTGGGTGCTTTTGGAGCCCTTTGGCTGTTACCACGGCATGCAAATGGATCCTAGCAGCGCCAGCCCTGGGGGCTATATTTCCCTCTTCGTGTTCATGGTCACCTTGTGCCAATTCGATTCGTTTGAAGATGTACGGGTCTCCCAAGCCTCGTGAAGCGCAATCTCTAAATGAGATCGGTTCTCCCGGAAACGTTTGGCCCATGCAAAATTCTACCCTGTCGCCCAAACTAGGGGGAAAATCAGCGGTATGGTGGAAACACCCTGATCCTTGGATGGGACCCTCACGAAGCCCTTGCTTCGGCTAAGGCATCAAGGCCCCTCAAAATGATCGGTGCTATGTTGCCTGTCCTCATTTTCCATTGCCTGCACTTGCCTCCATTTCTCTGCGCCAGGTGAGTGAGGAAAGTCGTCGAAGTCACAGCGCGGCCAGAATCAGTGTTGAAAGGAACGGTGAACAGCACTACAAAAGTGGACTTCCCTCCTTCCTGTGGGGCAGGCGAAAAGGCAGGCGCTGGTTTTTCAAGGAAATCAATCTATTTGCCTGCATTGGAGGCTTGTACGCACCGGACGTGTCCATGACAGATCAAAGATCTTTGGCCTTGATTTTGGTTGTCCCCGAAGACAGGATGGGTCCACATCACTCCCTTCACACAAGTTCTGATCATGCAACCCGAGCACAACTCGAGCGTTTCGCTAGTGGGAGACAAGTCGGTCTTGATTTAATGACTATGTGCTTTTTGAGGTGGGCTACTGTTTGCTGTTGATGACCAGACTGCTCCGTTCTTCAAGGCATCCAATGCTTTGCACTCTCGCACACTGCGGAAGAGCGCTACTTGCGGTTTTCGCTTGGCATCTTGGCCAACCAAATCATCGATGGTCTGCGCTGTGCCTTCATAGTAGGCTGCTTGTCTGGGAGATGAGCGGTCAGAAGCTCAAAACTCTCCGGGCAGTTGTCACAACCGAGGCGTTGAGGCGTTGGGCGTTGGCATTCTTTCAACATGGTGAAGCCTAGATGAAAGTTTCAGGAGCTATTGTTTGCTTGATATCTCCTTGAAGCAACGCGCCGCTGATTAATCATGTCAGGATAGCTGCCGAGAAAGGTCCGCGGTTTTCTCATTTAGAAGGCTGGCCTTTTCCAGCACCCAGTGTAGGCCCACCTCTCCGAGATGTGCAAGCGCCAATGCATCTCATTCAAGTTGCATTCTCGATTCAAAGGTGGCGCACTTCTGCCAGTCCTGCCAGACTTCAGCAAGTTACCAGAGATTCATGAGAAGAGCAAAGTGGTCGTCTGGAAGGGCAGTAATTCGGGGAACTACATAGCTAGTTGTACAGCTCCAGGCCTCCCCTCCTTGTCTCTGAAAACATCTCACCATGGTGCGGCGTTCTCACAGTGCCGGGGTCCCCAGCGGACATTTTGGAGTTCGCAGAAAGAACTCGTCACGGCTGCTAGATACTCAAAGAGACCGAAATGAACGCGGTGAGAATGTGGAGAGAGCCCTTGGACGTACCTCGCCAGCGTGGAGAACACCACACAGTCCCCAAGTGAAGCGGGATGTTCATGGAAGTTCTATTGTCGGGAAGCTGGTGAAAGCCTTGTGTTCAAAAGACCAGTCTTCTGGGTCAACGCTTAGCCTTGACCGAATGATGATGGCAGCAACGTTCACGTCATAGGTTTGGGGTTAAGCCCTGACCAAGTCTCAGGGGTGTTCTTTGTTTCGAAACTTGGCTGCTCACAGTGTCACAAGGTCGCCCTTGAGTGCCCTTTTCTAATTGCTACCCTTCCGACTATGGTCCAACGAGCAAGTGACAGCGGGCCAAAGAAATCCCTTTGCAAAGTGCACCAACAGGCTAGTAACAGAAGTTTCCATATTAGTGTTAGGTTGTGTGTGAAAGGGGCTCCCGCTAGGGTGCAAAGGGCACGTACGTCAGCCAGTGCGCGCGTTTGAGTTTGTCTCCAAACCAACCCTCTGAGGGCTACCGAGCCTCAAAAAGGGAGTCACCACGGGAGTCCCCCGATCGGATTGGGGTCCCCCAATTCGCTGCTTGCCGAGGCTCTTAGATGCGCACACATTGAGCAAGGCACCGTGGCCTCAAAGGGCAGCGCACCTTGGCTGCAAGCGCTAAGCGCAGCGCGGGTCCCGCGACACACGGGACGCTTTGACCCATGAGGAATTTGCACCCCCCCTTTGGCTGGCGTCAAAGGACTATTGAAGGAACGAAGGATATCGGGTTACAAGATAATTTCAAGTTTGGCTTTGGCCACATTCCAATTCCTCTGGCAAAACCCAAACTCGTATACCCTTCCTCCCACTAACATAGCATTTGTGGGAGGAAACCTGGAAGATCAATTTGCTCTTTGAGGGACCTCTGTCAGGTGCCATGTTAGTGGGAGGGACTGTACATCCCCAGAGGTACATAGCTGTTTCGCTCCGCACGCGCTGAGGCATGTGCTGCTTGCAGTCGGTGCCAGCCTCTCTGGCAAGGTCACCTCAGCAGTCCGGGGGATGTGCACCTGTGAAAAGCTCAGAAGAGACCCTTTGAGTGAATATGAGAATGCGCACCTTCAAGGGTTCTTTGCTTTGGACGATTTCAGTTTTTGTGGTTGTTGTCTTGCCCGGACCTCCAGCGAAGTGATTGGTCGCCGTTTGGCCGCACCGTCTGCGAGGGGAGTTTGTTGTGCAGATTCCAAGATCGGCTGTGGCACAAAGTGCCAGCCAGCTCGTTAGGTAGCACATGGGGATTAGGCAAAATCTGGCGCTTGCGAAGCTGAGGGGTTAATCACAGGTTCCTCGAGAGGACCCGAATGCAGGGAGAAGCCGGCTGTCACGCACCACTTGCATTTCGCGGATCAGTCAACTTGTATGGCATGGAACAGCCACCGGGACGAAGTCGTGAAAGGCACCAGACAACATCCTCACCTTTTTGCGGGCAACCCTGGCCTTGTAGAATCCCCTCTATGGTGATGAAGTTCGTTGCCATGTCCATGGCCAGCGACAGTTGGGCATGCCATATTCAATTTTTCCATGGCAGCGCATGCTGCCAAGGAAGGCTGAAAGGTTCACCCCTACACTCAAAGACTGGTTTGATTGAGCGTGAAATTGCACAATCCACACTTACACGAGCTGTGTGTAGTAGGTGAATTTGGTCTGCATGACTTTGCGAGGGATCCACATAATTGTGTGTGTGTGTGTTCTGAATGTGCTTGCAAGGGGTTGTATGGCATTCTTCGCATCCAAAAAGCGTCAGGGACCCCAAATATCGCCGGAACATGCGAGCATAAGAAGCCAGCGCCTCCAGAGGAGAAAAAAGAAAAAGACACCCGAAGTATTTGGACCCAATCCAAATGGCCGCTGTCATGGGGGGGTCCGTGAACAATCAAGAGAGAAGTTTCTAGTTTTGTTCCATACCCGAATCATGTAAATTGTGGTTGGAAGATATCGCGCTCCCTCAGCCTCGACTCTTCAAAACCCAGAGCATTTGGTTGGGCTTAGGTTTTGCGTAGCTTTGGGGTGCAAACCAAGTCGCCAGTGCCAGCCGCCATTTCGGCTCAGCCTCGCATTTGAGCCGCTCGATCCGACCGGGACATTGAACTCTGCCATGGCTCTGCGGCTGCTGCTGGCACTGCCCCTGGCAAACGCCCAGCTCCTCTTCGGCAACGTCTCCACTCTGCAAGAGCTGGCGCAGGCGCTTCGCCGCTTTGAAGCGGCGCCGGTGCGAAGTGTGATTGGTGGATGTTCCTTCTGGTGCGGGCGGGCGAAAGTATGAGCGGCATGTGCATTTGTCATATGGTTTCACTGGATGCTGGGTAGTGGAAGGTTTCTGCCCAGAGCAGCAAACACTTGCGTGATGTGTGTGTGTGTGGGTTTTCCCTTTGTGGGCTGGATGACTGACCAATTGAAATGGACGCTACAGCTGCACTCTTTGAGTTAGAACTTCCCCATTGCGCATGACGGGTCATCCTGGCTCAGGAAAAGGCTCGCTGGGAAAGCTTGGCTGGTTTATTTGAACGTGATCATAGTGACCTTTGGGGATAAACTATTTCATACTATTTCACTCCCTTTCCCGGGCATGTTTTTTTCCAGGGGTGAACATCATCATCATCATCATCATCATCATCATCATCATCATCATCATCATCGTCATCCTCATCATCATCATCATCATCATCATCACCATCACCATCACCATCGCCATCACCATCACCATCACCATCACCATCACCACCATCACCATCACCATCACCATCACCATCACCATCACCATCACCATCACCATCACCATCACCATCACCATCACCATCACCACCACCACCACCACCACCACCATCACCATCACCATCACCATGACCACCATCACCATCACCATCACCATGACCACCATCACCATCACCATCACCATCACCATCACCATCACCATCACCATCACCATCACCATCACCATCACCACCATCACCATCACCATCACCATCACCATCACCATCACCATCACCATCACCATCACCATCACCATCACCATCACCATGACCATCACCATCACCATCACCATCACCATCACCATCATCATCATGATCATCATCATCTCATCCTCCAGTCAT